CCCAGTCCTACTACCAGTGGCAGCGGCACGAACGCACCTACAACAACGAGTGCGCCTGGTGCGACGACGAGTGATTCCACCGCAACGACGTTGCCCACGGACCCGACCGCGGCGCCAACTGATGCTGCACTTACGCTGGCCCCGACGACGAAGAAGCCGGCGACTAATGCACCAACGTCATCATCGGCCACTGTCGTCTCGGTTAGCAGCGTGGCCGCCGGTATCGCGATGCTCTACATGGCGTGCTAAACTGGAACGCGTCTATTTTGCTACGATAAACCAATACCAGTATCGTTTATCATCACCTTCATTCGCGGGTTAGGTGTTTACTCCGGAATTCGTAAATCGCGATATGAGTGTCCCGCACTGTACACAACGGAGGACTGGAGCGCATATTATGTTCGCCGTGGCAATCAAGACAACGCGGTACTAGAAAGAGACGCTACGACCTACCATACGCCCAGCGTGCTGTCTTGACCAGTCGACTCTACCCATCTTGCCTCAGGCCGCTCGTTCCGACAGCTCTCGAGCTGCTAGTTCCCTGACGAAATTCAAACTGCTTTAAGAATCGCTGGTGATAGCCTGCACCACGGTCATAGCAGATCTTTGCGTGCTCCACACCGTCTGGCTTATGAGTACCCGCGATGGCTGATTCTTTTGCCTGAGGCGGCCGTCCTTCACGCTGCTTTCGCAACCACGCTGCTCCTCCAGCACTTGCTGCGAGGCACCCACGTGAGATGTACCTTTCACATCTTGACTGTCCCGGACGACTGCCACATTGTTCGCCGGCGCCTTGAGCACGCCTCGCATCCGCCACGGCCAAGCCCCATCGCACCTCCAGTCGGAAGTGCACCAGCAGAGCATGACCAGCTCCGTGCCCATTTATTGTGGTTCTAGTTGTGGTTCGTCTCAGACAAAAGCTATTTTGGAGCTTATTACGCACATCGAACGCTCTTTGTTGTGTGGACTCGCTTGAGAGACACCGTCTCGACGACTGGGGCGCGATTCCGCTGGACAACGTCTCGGTGTCGAATGCACTTGCATATAATACCAAGGGCGAATAAAAATCCTCGATAATACCAAGTCGACTCTCTTTCCTTGCAACAATGATCAGCCGTACGTGACCGTCGCCGTTGCAATGACGTCGAACGCTCGAAGCAGGTTCTTCAACTACGGTACACGCCAAACAGCTGTTTCGTCAGGTTGGCTGCGGCTGCGTTTGCACTGCAATTGTCAAACAAGTGACACCGCCGTGTCGACGCCGGCTCTTTCGCACGCCCGCAAAGAAAAGGCAGCTGCGGCGCACCCACTCGAGTCGCATGAAAAGGCCATTGAAGCGTAAAGGGCACAGATTTCGTTTACACGCGCTTTGCCCACATGTTGAGCCACGGGCTTCTTGCGTCGCTGCTCCTGGCGTCGGCGACGGCGGCGAGCATCTTCGACTACCCGGCGTACACGATCCCGGCGTTCGACCTCGACAACCTCTCGGACGCCGACGCCAACGCGCTCGTCGCCGCGCTCAAGACCAACGGCATCGTCAACCTCAA